TCTGTGAGTTATATTAAATATCCGCTGCCAAACGCTCTGCATTCTTCTATGTCTATTTCACCAGTTCTGAAAGGCTCCATTAAGCTCTGCTCTTAAAAAACCCCACTTAATTAGAATCCCAGACAGAAGCACCTTCAAAAACGCAGCTCCCTGATACCATTTCATCTGTGCAAATGGAAATTGGACTAGAGGTGTAATAGGTGGCCAGCTGAGGCTAAAGGAAAGGATTCACTGAAGAACAACGGCTGTATTCTGGACATGTTAATAGAGCCCATACACATTTGATCTTTTAGTTGATCAGGACTTGAAAGAGGAGCAGATGATTTCTCCGATGAGGTGCTATGGAGTAAAAGAAGGTCGAGGTTGCCACATGAGTTACCGTGAAAAGTTCATAAAAGCTATTAAGACGATATCTTCAAAAAAGACATAAGAGGGAATTTCAGAGCTCCCTCCTTCTCCGTTTTCATCCTCCTTTCCCGGTCGAACTCCCCCTCCACTGAATCACAAACTGAAACCCCAAATGACTAACAGATTCCAGACGCCGTGTTTCAACTGTCAGATCGCAGAGTTCAGGTTCTTTGACAGAGCGTGTGCGGTCACAACTTAACCCTGTCCCATCCCCCAAGGCCGTCCCAGAGACTTGACCCTGAAGATCACCTTAAGATAGTAGTTTCGTCTTTTTCTCTCCACATTGAACACAAGATTCTGAGCTGAACCCAAACAACAAAGCTCCCTTTTTCTCTCAGAAAGTGAACTCTGAGAAAGGAGCGAGGTCAAACTATCGTTCAGACATTCTGTGGCAATTTTTTTTGGTCTGGTTTGGTTAGCAGGGCTGCAGCTGCACCTAATCCCCACAGGAAAGCCTTCAGCTGGGACTGATTTTAGAGTGCCTGGGCTAGGGTGGGAGAAAAGGGGGAACTGTTTTGTAAAAAGCTGGTTCCCTTTTGAGGAACAGGCCTCCTCTCAATTCATCTGATTAAAGGGAGTTTGGCTCAATTACACCCAATGACTGGGCCCTGCTCTCAAGCACGACCCTGGCTGGAAAACACACAGAAATAGATTGTGAGGACTCAACAGGAGTAGTGAATCTGTGCATCACACCTGAGGTCCTACCATCCATCCACTGCTAAACCTCCAGCTAACAGCACAATCTGTCAGCATTGCTTGCCTCAGAGGGACAGTTTTTTGTGTAACCCGTGACTGGTTTGGGAAAACAGTGGGGTCGGCTCTCCAGGGAAAAGCTTATGTCTTCTCCAATTGGTGGGCTGGATACTGGGGTGGGGGTGGGGGGTGGGCACCAGGTCAGAGTAATCCGTTCCAATCAGCCTCACGGCACAAAAAAGACGGGGCTGAAGAGGTACGCCAACATGAGGAGTAATGGAGGATGCGTGTGTGTGTGTGTAGATGAGTTCATTTGTTCAAGTGCTCGAGTACAGGAGCAGAACATTGGTAGAAACTGGGGACTATTACAGAGGTTAAGGTTAAAATCAACACTTTCTCTGACGTTATCATTTTACCATGTTCGAATCAGTAGCAAATGACTCAGAGAATTCACTGTCAGCTTTAGAACACAATGACAAGCTACTACACAGGCACGCAGCATTTTGACCATGGCTATTAACTCTGTGAGCGAGGTAAATCTGTATATGATGCTGCTAATGCGTGGGAGTAGAGATAATTATTATGACGTCTCAAACATTTACACGGCAAGCTGGTTGCAATCGTGCCCAGTAGTAAAGTTCAATGATTGCAGCTGGCTTTGAGGCCCCAATTAAACTCATTATTATAAATTAGCTTTTATAGAGGGACCAATGTGAGGTGAGAGAGCACACAGAGATCCATGCTGTTCTCCAGTGTCTGCAGCTTGTATGGAAAACAGGCCTGCAGTAATAGCTACCTTTACACAGTTAAAAACACCCCTTTCCATGCCTCAATTTTTCAGTCTCCATTTCAAACCCAACCGAAAAATAAACATTTCCCCCTCCATTATTCGCCATCCAAATTATATTCCACCCACAACCCCATTTTACTGGCTCATGCGCCCGGGCCTCTTTATGTTGTGACACTCCAAAGAAAACAGTCCTACTGAATGTTGTGGACGAGCACAGCTAACCTGATACAACCCAGTTCACTGCTTCAATTACACACCATGTTTACCACGGCCATTTTAATTAAAAACAGACGAGGGAAGAAAAAAAAAGAACAAATTCATCTTTATATGCATAAAATGACAGTGACGAAATGACCTTCTATGGATGTTTGACTTTAAGCTTCCTCTGCCCCTCCTGGTTTAATCTATCAAGTGCAAAGAGAATTGAAGACAAGGTCCCCTTTTGGTTAGTGCAATATGTCTTTTTCATATCCGCTTGGTCATTCACTGCTGAGCTGAAATTGAATTATCCACAGAAAACCTTCCGTGAAAACACACAACTCAGACTGCCCACTGCTGAAGGGAACAAGCTGAATGATGGAAAGTATGGTGCCTTTTATGAAGACAAAACACTGAGTCAATAGTGACTAGTGTGAGTGAAAGGCCCAGACTAGAACTCCAGATGAATACTAAAACACTGATAAAAGTAAGATAGAGTATGGAAACCTTGCCCTTTACCCAGAAAGAGGTCAGCCAGTTCTGTTATCTGTGATTGCTGATTGCAGACTACGTCTAGGAGTGATTTAGCTTTATAAGTTTATGTTTGGCCAGTGATTAGATGAATGGAGTTTAGTGAATACATTTTCCCCTTAATTTAACTTCCGAAGCCCTGTTTATTTTTGACAGTGTTTTGGATGCTTCCCACTCCAGAGATTACAAGACAAGAACATTGCCTCAGCCTGCAGCAGCAGCTGTAACAACCTGTAAAGTCCAGGAAAGACCAACTTTTAAAAAGAGCTAAACACAACTAGCAAGTGGGTGAGATTGTGTATAGTAAGTTTTAATATAAAAACTCCTGTTTATCTGGTGCAGATTAAACAGAGCATGATGAGAATGGGGGGAGGAAACCATAACTTGCTGTACCAGAGTCTGATATAGCAGCATTGCTGTTAAATTTCAAAGATATATTTGTATGGATAGATGGAAATTATTCGGGGGAAGAAGACGAGTTAGATGTAAGAGGGATGAAGGCAGCAAAGAAGATGTAAGAAATTGACAATGTGGGAAAAATAAAGTATGGCAGTCAAGGGCAAGGTCTCATCTGTCATGTGACTGTTACCTGTTTTATATCTGCAAGCATCTGGACGGGATGCGGCCTTGGGAATCATAGCTCTGACACACGATCCCGGCATATGATAGCATGATTGAAGTGATTTAATACGGGACATGTTGCAGACAGGTCAGCAGCACACACCCAGGCAATTATTGTACGTCCAAAGTATCGAAATACAGGAAATCAAATTCAAAGCTAATGAAAATGCATTTAATAATTCCAAGATGATGTGATTTTCTGTGGATTTGAGAATTGCGCAGACAGACTCATAGAAAACCAGACAGTGGCTGAGTAAGAAGGCGTCAGGAATGCTTTAACAGCTTGTCCCCAGATGAGCAGGACAATCCAGAAGAAATCCTCACACTGTTGGTACATTCTATTCGAGTTGTGCCATCATCACACCTACAAAACAGTGGCTTCAGGCTCTTAAGTAAACTTCAACATTCCTCTGTCTGCAAGCTAAGGCACTGCAGGGAGACAACCCTCCTGATGAAATTAACTCATTAACACTGTGGGTTTTCGAGCACACATACAGCTTGTGTTTTGTGGGGATTTTTCCAGACATCTATTACGCATATCACAAATAACATACTTGTTTTCGGAATAATCAATAATAAAAAAAAAGAAGTGCCATCAGATATGCTCCATTTCCATGAAGCAGGCTGGCACCAAACAATGCGGTGGATTCCAAAGAGGCAGTCAGACAGGCAACTATCTGTCTCACTCAAAAGAAGGAGGAAGTGGAGGAAATGGAGATGAGTGGCGAGCATGAGGGCAGAGGGAGGAGGGAGAGCGGAGGTTGTTATTTGGGACCCTGCTGTGTCAACTCTTAAATGTCTCCCTCTCTCACACACACACATTCCAAAGGGAAGGGAAAACAATGACTGCTCTCCTAAACTCATTATTTACAAAAATCTTCCTTGTATACACCTTCAAACTTGTTATTGCTGCGACCAAACATAGTCATGTACAGTACAGACTCTCAAATACCTGTGGAGTGGATCACATGTGAAGTCTGCGTTGTTGTCCACAGAAAAGGCAAAATGAACGAGCTACTCTCGCTCCTTGAGTTCTGTTATATTCATGATAATAAACTTAATCCAACTCAGCATGCTGCAAAGTCTGGTCAGTTCTGGTTTTCAGTGACTTGGCCCGCTAACCTGTTTATACTAAAATGGTTGAGCTGGATCTGACAAAAGGAACCCTCACTCCAATCCCCTCTGCTCTCTCTCTTCCTCCATCCTTCCCTTCCTCTCCTCCCTGGAGCACGGCCATGCTCCTGCTCTCTCCTCCAAGTCCTTGGCAGCCGTGTTTGGAAAAATAGGCAAATGGAGAAGGTCAGGATCAGAAATGACAGGAGGTGAGCTGAGGGGAGCAGTGTCAGTGTGTCTTCCGCTGTTGCCCGACCCTTCGTGGTGGTTATGGACAGAGAGACACAGAGCTTTTCTCTCCGCTTAGAGAGGAAAAGGAGTCTCTGCGTGTGGCTCTGACCCAGGAAATGGCAGAAATATGGAGGGACAGCGTCAGAGCCCTGGGAGGTCTGCCTGCCCGTTCAGACACACAGCCGCGAGGAAGCTTCACAGTGAGCGGAGGCCCGCCATACATCATTCCACATGAGGCAAAATGCCACACACTATCCACATACCACACACATATACTGTATGCTAAGCATGTCAAGTCACACAAAGGTGCCCTTTGTACTTTAACACACAACTCACTGACAAACATTGAAGTGAACCTGTCAGAGTCATGACTGGGTCACTCAGTTATGGTGTTGCACACTGATGCTGTACTCACCCGCTGGAGGTGCCGAGTGACGCCGAGCCGACAGAAGAGCTCAGCTTCCTGCTGTCCCAAAGCCTCACCTCTCGACTCCGGGTCTTCACCCACAATAACACCAGATGTTACAGAGGCAGACACAGAAATCGTCAACAGATTAGAAATAAAATACATACACAAAAGTAGGAGTGTTTGACAGTTATACACATGTTGCTTGTAAACATGTATTGTTTCACATACGCATATATAAACTTGTTCCCCACAAGGTGTAAAAAAAACACACTGCCACTAACAGGAAGGGTAGTCGCAAAATGCTTAATTCTGCCAAGACTAAAACTCAACATGTTAAAGAAAGTGGGGAAAAAATCCTGGATCTGCCCGTTTATGCAGATCTTTTCCTAGATTTAATAGCTTCTTCCTCAGGATCATGCACCAATGCTCGACAAGACTTTCATGGAAATCGGGTTAGCAGTTTTTGAGTGATTCTGCAAACAAACAAATAGCAATGAAAACATAACCTCACCATATCAAAGCCGGTGGTCAGTAGAAAGTCGTCTTTGGCCCACAGGATGCGTGAATCCTTGTTGCTCTGAAGACTCTTGGCACTCTAAGAGAAATGAGGCAGAACATGTGATTGTGGCACAACCATGAGCATCACAATTAGACAAATCAAACACAACTTACTTAATGAACCCCTAAATTCAAACATAACCTTGAGGTCTAGATAACGGGAGGGGGGTGATGAGTGCATAATTTGCAGGGAGGAAAAAAGAGAGAGGAGGGAAGACAGACGGAACTATTCTCAGATGCCACTGACAGATCCCTGTGGTTGAACAGAACAGGACTTGTCCCATGAAAGGAGCGCTTGTTTTTGTTGATGTAGCAGACAAGATGACTTCTGCCACGGGTGCAGCTTACATTACCGAACTGTGACACTGCATCTGCCTGTCTGTTCATGGAGACTTTGTTACCGTATTTCCATGGGGAGTACATGTCAAAACAGCACTGCCAGGCTTGGTTTGACAGGTGGTCCCCGAATTCAAACAACATGTTGTCAGTGGTAATGTCTTAAAAACAACTGTGAGGGTTAAAACAGGAGAACGTCTGTAAAGAAAACACGAGAAACAAGAGATGTCGGAATGTGAGTTAATTGTGCGGGGTCTTGAATTTATTGTATGCAACACTGGGATGCCATTGAGCTAAGCCATAAATGTACTGTAGTTATAGGGATAAGACAAAAAATACAAAAGACGAGACGTGATCCACAAGGCCAGCTTAAAGGTTTTCAATCGACTACTTTTAAAAGAGTGATCGCTAAGTAACATGGATTTTAAAAAGCACTAAAATCTTGCCATTTGGAGCTTATCTGTCAAGTACTTGTAATGCCTCACAGCCGCAGTCAGTTACTGAGCCCCCTGTTATCTGTCTACTAAATACTAGAGTTACACCGAGCTTTCCCAGAAGGCACGAAGGTCAACGTGGAAGATTCCATGGAACAGGAGCCGATGGCCCCTAAGCTCATTGTGTCTCCCCAAATTACCGTTGTCATTTTTATGGCCACCTCAACCCAACGGAGCGTGGCTGTGCGTCTGTGCATGGAAAGAAGACAGAGTTTATTTTCTGCGACTTGACACTCAAAACCTTTCTACGGAGCGTGCCGCCTAATTCTCGTGTCACTGATAAATGTCTGCAGATGACAAATTGAAAAACAACTGGGGACAACTTGAGCTGCCATGTTGCACCCCTGAACACGAGGGAGATTACTTAACAGTATAACCTCTATTAACCTCCATTAACATAACGTCTCTGTCCACAGAGTACTTGGCAAAAATAAAACTGGAGCCAACAGCTGAACAAATGGGGATGAACGCATAATATTAAATCCAGTTTGTAAAGAGTATACGCATGAAGGGCAACACATGTGGGCCCTATCAATTCTAACACAAATCCCCCTTCCTTGTCTCTCTTCTGACATCACTTTATATAAATGTCTAAATCAAATGTTTGATCGGTGCTTGCTTTTCCCAAATCCTCTGCAGGGTGCTTCTAACTCAAGTACATGTGGACAATAAATGACACACACATGTGAGGGGTCTGTGGAACCTGCAGGAGAAAATGGAGGATAAGGGTGGTGAGTTTTATTCTGTGGAACTGCAGTTTGTTTTATTTATTTAAGAAAAAGGGAATTTAAAAACTTCACTCCCTTTCCCGTGAGGGTGCTGTAATCACATCTTATCTTATTAAGCAGATAAAGATACAGTTTTTAGAAATGAGACACCGATTTTAGGATTAGTCATTTCTTGATCAGCAACCACTCGAGGCAGTGACTCAGCACATGCAGCAGTTCAACAATCATGTCCTCATATGGGCTGCGTCGTATGTGCCTCTCCCAAGACTATAAGTGGCCACCTCATAATTTGTGTTTTTGTACAAATTAAATAAACAAGATACAAATCATTGAGTAAGACAGGAATTTCTTATGCTAAGCTAATCACCTCCTGACTGTGTATAAACATAGACACTGAGTTTTCACATCCTTGCGCTATCCAGAAATAAATGCAAAATGTCCTGGACACAAGTGGTGCATTATGGTCCGTCAGAGTCTGTAAAGTATACAGATCGGGATGGAGCCACGGTACAGAGGTATCACAGATACTAATTAAAACCGAACTTATCAGAAAAATGAACATTACCATGCACCAGTGTGATAAGAACTACCTAAAACGATAGAAACCATCTTTGAGAAGAATTTAGATGAAGTGTACTTTGATTATTTAGTGTTTGGTACATATCCCATCCATTAACATGGAGGAGTAGGGATTTATAGAGTCTATGCTAGTCTGAAAATTTGCCTCACATACCTCTGGTCTGTATAAACTACATGAGGTGAATACATATAAATCTTGTCTAACTGTAGGCGGGATAGAAGACTAGTATATGTCCAAAAATGTTAGCCATTTTTTGCAAAATGTTCGACTCAGGCCAAGACTCGCTGGAACATCCCTGTCAGAGAAGCAGGAATGAACCATAAATTGTAAACAGTCAGATGAATGGATGCTTATTGGCCACACTGGTGGTTCAAACTGAATTTATTGTTCAGAATCTGAGCTATGAGGTGACTTGACATTGCTCCAGGACAGTAGGTTGAGAGCCCACAGGAACACACATTTTTTAAAAGGAAATTCTCAGATGTGCACTTCTGGCCTTTTTTCACTGATGATACGTCTTTGTCCATACCAGTGTTTTATCTAACAACATCTGTATGTTATACAGATGTTTTCTGGCTCCTGGTGTGCTCCCAAATGACTTTACCCACTAAGAGGGATTAGCAAACACTCTACTGACCTGGCTCTCAAACACGTTTCTGAAGTTACGCTACCAAAGCACTGACAGAGTTGATAATAAGTCCTGGGTTGAATAAACACTTAAGTCGTGCCTGAGGATCATTTTTCAGCCAGCAGTCAGTCGTATGCCTCGTGCAGGTAACTGACCTCATATTTCCCCTGATAAGTCCATGCAAGTTTCTCTGTTGAAAAATAGCCCAGATGTACGGGAGAAATCCAGAGTAAACTGAGACCTCGAAAAAAGCAATCGATCAGAAAAGAGCGGGGAAAGGAGAAAGATAGACTAAAGCCAGCTCTTTATAAACAGACATGGAGAGAATTCTTTGCCATGGAGTTGTTCATCACCAACACTGGCTGATTTCCTTGCAGGGGCAAGACGACGCTGAACTGGCACTCTGACCAAACTAGGAACAAGATGAGCGCAGACTATTTTAATCTGCCCCAGGTCTGTTTAACACTGCCCCTGCTTTTAGGAGAAACAAGTGGCGTCTGATTCATATTTCTGGCTGACAGCCGCAGGTTCCAATTGTATTCATATTACATGCAAGAGTAAACAGCCTAATCTCTGCATCAATACTTCTCACCATATTCTGCTCAGGCACAGCTGTGCTTTGAGGTTACTGCTAACATCAGCATGCTAACATTCTCACCAAGTTGATGCTACCATGCAAATTTACAGCAACTATAATGTTTATAATGTTAACCATGTTCACCAGTTACCCTGCTAACATTTCTATGTTGCACTAAACTCAAAGTACAACTGAAGCTAATGTGAAAGTTCTGCAGGAATTTGGTCATAGACAAAAATACTGGACGAATAGAAAACCTTTTATTGTATTATTAAATTACATTCACTGCTACTCCTGGTTGGTGTGTAAAATGTTGATAAAGAATAAATGAAGTAAAATAGAAAACATTGCACACAATATACCTCAGTCAAAAACTCTATATTTGTCGTGATGGTCACACTGTAGTGCATTGCAAAGTTCATTTATTCCTGGCAGCTATAGAAAGCATCAAATAAAGAAAATGTCTTGATGATGATGATGACAACTTTATGAATTTGTGTCAGACATTTCAAGAGAATCTTTCCAAAAGTTGTTGAGACAATACATTTCAATAATTTCAACCTCACGGTGGCGCTATGAGTCAGGGATCCATGACTAATAAGCAAAAATGTCAACACTTTGACGACACTACAGGTTAAGTCAGAGGGATCGTCATGTCAATAGGATTCTTTCTTCATTCCATATTCTGTATGTCTGAATAGAATCTCACGAAAAACTCACCCAGTAGACTGAGACAGTTAGAATCCCTCGAGAGATGCCACCAGTTTGACTAAAAAGGCAATAAGGATTGTGCACAAGCTTCACAATGAACCCATATTCATCCTGCCCCCACACCTGGTAAAGAAAAGAGGAGAAATTTCCCCTTCAGGTGATCAATTAAAAAAGAACACTAAAAAAAACAATATATCACCTTTCTGTGAACTGTTTCCGAAGCAGACAGGCTTAGTTTTGCCATTACAACATCCCTCAGGCTTTCACTGAGCTGCCTGAGCCAGACAGCTCCAAGGCTGCAGATGAGCAAACCGGCCTGACAGACCTCTCACAGCAGACGGCTATACATGCTCCATAGATCGTACTGCCATGATGTCATCCTTCACCCTGAGCTGAAGGCACGCGCAGCTTTGAGCCTTTTAACAAAGATGTCATCGGGGCTTTGGCGGCTGGAGCGATACAAGTGCAACTGAGGATTAGGGGTCTCTGCTCACTCTTTCCCAATAAACAGTTTTCAGTTTAAGGAAGTGAGCAACACGAAACTATAACACCCCGGGGCAGCCAGAGGACACAACATCTGGACCTTGTGTGTGTGTATATAAATGTTGCCAAACAGTATCTCTCCTCTGCAGTCATAAATTTAACTCAAATCCCATTCACATAGAGCCCCCACCACCTCCTCACGGCTGAACCTTACCGGCATGCTAAAAATCGATCATGGCTCAACTTAAAAAACAGGGAGAAAAGAGGTAAAAGGAAGAAAAAAAAAAAAGACAAATGTTTTCTTTAGCAGCAGAACAAAGAATCCAACCTGATGGAATTCACACAGAAGGACACAGAAAAGAGAGAAACGGTTCATGGCTTTACAAAATACGCACAGGAGGTGTAAAGAATCGGTTACCCCTGCTTGAGTGACTGGCTCTTACACAAAAATAACGGAAGGAGAGGAAATGACATCACATCTGGAAAAACAGTATTACCAA